TCAAAAAAGATGTGCATGATCCAAATCAACCACCGGTATCGCCCAGCACTTGGCTCTACTCGTTCGTAATGGATGAAATACCGGACACCAAATACGTTAAGTTCATGTTTGAGATCGAGTACTCGGCACACGAGTTGATCCCGGGTTCGCTGGAGGCGCAGATAGAACTGATCACATTTGGCGACCCGTGTCAGGTGCCCAAAATTGAGTGCGAGGAAACTGGTCGTGGTAAAGGCAATAAATGCATGAATAAAGCCGTGTCGAGCGCACCCAATGTGTGTCCGTGTTTGTACGGCTATAGTGGCGACCGGTGCGAGAAAGTCGACTATTGTATGGTTAAAGCCAATGCTGTAAATATGACACTTAATCCAAACATGACCTATGTATGAACGAACTGAATATTTATATTAATTAATAGGCGGGTAAATCTGGTCAACTATTATGCGAACAGAGTGTGGCGTCAAAGGCGTGCGATAGCGAGGGCTCAACACATTTGGTTGGAAGTCAAGCCGATAAAGATAAGGTGTACCGATGTGTTTGTCAGGACAGTGTACCAAACCATTTACTAAATTGGGACAAGTAAATACGTTTGATATATTAATACTTATACTATTTATAATGTTTATTTTATTATTATTATTTATAATAATTTTAATTATATTCATTATTTTTTAATATTTACCCGTTAAAGGACTAACAAAGTGTGTACAGCAGCTCCAATTAAATTGGATAGAGGTTGGACACAAGTTGGGGCCGATTACTATCCGAACGATGCAATCAATGAAATAAGCTATGAATTTATTGACATTAGTACCGATAGAGTGGACATATGCTCTACAATAGATTACACTCTTGTAAATCCGACACATAGTATAACAGTTAACTATCAAGTAGGGTTGACAGTCAAAAAGTTAGTCGATTTAAAATTACTACAGGGCAGTCATGTTGTGAAGTTCTGCGTGCGAGACTTTATGTACAAACCAGCTAGCAACTTCTTTTTGACTATAACATCGGTGGCCGACAAATACGACGCGAGTTCATTAACAAAGTTCACGTGGAGTGTTGAGCCCGTATTGATTGGCACAATGAATATGAAACTGATCGCCGGTTTGAAGTCAAGCGATCGGTGGAGGAATGAGTACCTGTTTGGGGACAATAAATTGATCTTAGATGGAACAAAATTTAAAAGCAATACAAGTAATTATTCAATATTATTTACATGATAAAATTAGATTAATTTCAATTTGGTAAAACAACTTTTAGTTTATATGATCATTTAGCTCTCATTCTCTTCCAATTCTTGCCTCCCTTACCTTTAACCTCTTACACACTATGGAATTTAATATTGTATCCCAGCTTAAGTTGTGAATATAATTTTAACATAAAGCTAATGTTATCCAATGGGTAATATTGATTCTATGTGATTAATGTTAAATCTATCTATTGCTGGTAATCCTATAGGTTAAAACTATATTACATGTATTTCTATAGCAGGATTATATCATAATATTACCTGAAGTTAACCTAACGTATCAAATTTAGGCAAATTCTTGTTTAGATAATATTTCATACATGATAACTTGATAATTAATTATGTTTGCTTATAACACGTAGCATATTTCATATATTTTTTACATTTATATTTTTTAATATCAAATTTATAAATGGTTTAAACAAAAATTGGTTTAATATTTTTAAATTAAAAATTCATTTCAGTCACAATTCCGCCAAAAACTACAACCGAAATACCGATATATTTAATGAGTGATTGGATTGAATTCAATCCTAAAATCAACGATCCGTTAAAACCGCGGATATCTATCGACAAGATATTAGCGGCAAATATTAATGCCGTTAGGATTGAAACAGGAATACTTTGGGACACACAAGACATGTCTTCTCTGCAATTATCTCGCGTCGCGTTTGTGGCCGACAAAGACATCGAACAATCCCTACAAATCACTCAATACAATAAAATTCAATATTTCAAACTTGTCATCAAATTCACGTTAACCAACGCCGACACTACCCCTAAGACTGTTGACTTGGCCGTCACTGACGTATCAATTGGTGATCCGTGCGATAAAAAAGTCCGAAATGTTTGCTCAAATCAGGGCACTTGTGCGGCACCGGTTTTACCCGATGTACGCAAATACTCACCAGAAAACTACGTGTGTTCATGCGATAGCGCACATTTTGGCAAAGATTGTGAGCTGTTACGATGCGTAGATGTCGTGGTAATTAATAAATATATTTATATGTTTATTAAACAAAATAATATTCATTAACATATGTTTGCACTAAATTTATAGGCAAGACAAACGTGCGATGCTTCACCGCGATATGCAATAGATATATTCAATGATGTGACCAATTGTGAACAACAACAAACTGGGGCAGTTTATAATTGCTATTGTCCTAACGAATATAAAATAGATAATGCTAATCACAGGTAAACGAATTTTATATAAATTACCATAATTTTAATACATTATATTGTATATTAAGATAATCAATTATTAAATATTTATAAATGTTATTAATAAATGTTTTTCACATCTAGATGTTTAAGTAAAGTAAGCTACAGTAGTAAATCGATATCGTGTGGTTTGGGTGGAAAAACACCAGGGTGCGAATTCTTTACACTTGATACTAATATAATAAAGTGGTCGAATGAATTCGAGCCCCAATTAACACATGATGTTAAATACAAAGAGGTATTTCCTCTATACGTGTCGGAGATATCGGGCGATAAATTGACGCAAACATTCAACAACTACGACACCACTCGTGACTATTGCTATACTTTTAAATACTTCGCAAACGCGGACTCAAAAGTAGTCGTTTCATACAAAGACCAAACATCGGGGTATATATTTGGACGCTATTCAGGCGAAGACTTCAACCAACAGTCTATATGTGTCTCACACTTAACACCTGTTATTGAGAAAGACTTTACAATTGTGTTCAAAACAGTGATGACTAAACCGGTCAATAGACTGGCTATTAATATACCGAGCGGTCACACAACCGATCCGATTAGCGAATATCTTGCATATATACCGTTAATTAATCCAACGCCCACAACACCCCCTACACCACAAGTTGACCCTGATGCTACATTTGAAAAAATATTTAAACAATTTACTGGACCAAGCTCAAATTGGAATCATAAAGGCAATCTTGTAGCTTTTAAAGGTAAGCCATCAATTACAATTAACTAATCACAGTTTGAAAAATATACATACACGTTTTATAAATTATTTATTTAACTAATCATATTAAACTTATAATATATGATGGATTATTACAGCAACACAACAGTCAGATGTGGCCGTATATATGATCAGTCAATGGATCAAAAAGACAACCGATTCGGTGGACGTATGGATTAAATTAACGTCAAAAGACTTCACGGGATTTGCCATTCAATTCGTGACGATTGCCGACAACAAACAGGAAGCATCGGCTGTGGACACTGTGATTGGCGACAGCAAAATAATTACAAATGTAACATATATTTAACCATGCATCATTAATGATTATTAAATTATTAACATGTTTCTAATAATAATAGGCGGTCACTACATTTGATGGTAAACTAAAGATTAAAGTACCGGCCGGTACAGCCTGGAAGTTTGGCATTAAAGTCACTTACAATACACTTGACAAAGAGTTGTTTACAATCGATCAGTTCTCACTTAACGACCCGTGCGCTGAACCCAAAACACATTCCCTAATTAATTGCGCCACAAAAGATGGAGGTGGAAGGTGCAGACGATTTGTGAAGGAACATCCAGAGTTACCATATTATTGCGAATGCGACCGCAGGTTATATTATGGTGATAAATGCGAACGAACTAATTATTGCACCAATCCGTACATTGTGAGTTTGCATTAATTGATACAATGTATATTAATGGTTTTTAAATCTTAACATTAATAAATTAAAGTTTCTAATATAATACCATTATGTTAAAATTAAAATTAATTGTGAATAACATTTAAACCATTTATTTTGTATAGCATTCTCCAAGTATGAAAGGCGACGATTATTGTGCGAAAGAACCTAAACGAGGCACATGTAAAATAGATGCATCAAATGATCGCTTTGAGTGCACGTGTCCTAAAATCGAGCAATTTTATTGGGATTCGCGCGACGACGTAATGGAGTGAGTATTTAAAAAACAAAACATACAGTATATCAGTTGTTATAACAATGTCTTTAATTCTCAAAAATAGTTGCAAAAATCTGCCCAAATGTTTCACCAAAGGGTGTAATAAAGTTAGCGAGAATTGTGTGGAACCGGCCGATGACAAACCGGCAGAAGACGCCACATGTGTGGCCAAAGAGGGCTATTATAAAGACCCGGTGACGGGAGTGACCACTAAGATTGACATTTGCAAAGTGGCCGACAGAAAGATTGCCAAATTAGCTAACGAGAAGCCCTGTGACGACGATCGGGCCATGTGCGAACACGACTTTATCAACCCCACTCAGTACACGTGCAGATGTCCTCCTGGGTTTGAGACACATGGTAAGGCTGATCAGACTGATTCTATTAATAATGTTAACAAACATGTATAATAAAATTGCATTTATTTAATAAATTTAAATAATAATTACTACAATTAATAATAATTTTTTATTATACAGTATGCTATAATAAATTATTAATAATACAACTATTTAATTAATAAATTAGATTCAAGTTAACAAGCATAATCCAATCGTCATATTAAAAATATATTAATTATTAATCATTAACCATAATTAGGAAGCGGACGATCGGTCAGCTGTACATCGCAGAAATGCGCTTCACCAGCATTTCACACGTGTCAGCACAAATGCGAGAACGTGGACGACAAGGGCGCCGACCATAACACGTACATCAGGGGCTATAAGTGTGGCTGTAATACAAAGATGTACTCACAAAGTGGCGACACCTGTACGCCCACAATACCGTGTACTAAATGTAACGGAATTGCTAACTGTTTCTGCGATGGAGTCAAAGATGATAGTCATCATTGCTTTGATGGTTGGGATTGGACTGCAGATAACAAACAGTGCGAAATACGCGGTAAGCATTTGGTTAAGCACCATATGTTCTTACATGCTTTATATATTATTAACAATGTGTTTACAATTAATTGACAGATGAGAAAGGTAGTTGGTGTTTGGCAGGCAGTGCGACCAAACTGGACAAACCGGACGCAACCGGACGCCGGTATTGCCTGTGCGACGCGCCGTACGTTCAAAGCTCGGACAAGAGGTCGTGTGTATTGCAGGGCGTGTGCGGACAGGGAGGCGCCGGACGGACGAGATGCGACGGTATACAAGCCCTGTGCAGATTGACTGACCCAAAGAGTGTTACGGATCATCCGTTTGAGTGCGTGTGTCCGCCCGGCACTATACAGGAAGCGAAAGGAAAGCTGTGTCAACCCGTATGCAAATTCCGTAACCGTGACCTCGCGTGCAATCGCATTAACGCCGATTGCAATCCTAACAAAGACGTCATACTTGTGAATGAAAAGCCTGAACACTACTGTGTGTGTCGGCCCGGACTCATAATGTCTGGAGGCAAATGCATGGCCACTGAATATACCATGAAATTCAGCATTTCCATTAAAAATTACCTACCATTTAAAGCGCTTGAATATACCTTACAGCCGGCGTACAGTCTAGCGCCGTACGAAAACGCTCCAATGCAAGACTGGGCCGGCATTTACAAAGACATTGAATCGACGAACGCATTGAATCGGGCGCTCTTTGACAAAAACTCCGCCGACAAACAGAAAGCCTACGAACGCGATATGATTGAAGCAGAAGTGGTCAGACTGTTGGCCGGTGTGCCTCAGTTTGAAGTGGCAAAAGATTCAATACGGCTAACAAAGTGCACGTCTGGCGACTATATGTCGTGCGATTTCACGGCTGTACTTAAGAAAGATACCGATATAAAAACAAATCCCATAAATCTTGGGAAATATTTGGAACATTTATGCCACCCGTTAACAGGTCTCAAGGATCAAGTGGATTGTTTCATGACTGTGCCCGTTATCACACCCCACCCAGCACTCGCCGATAGAGAGAGAGAGAGAGAGAGAGAGAGAGAGAGACGGAGGGGAGAGAAAGAGAGTCCAACACTTGAAATGATAATAAAATTATAAGTTTTGTGTTAAAAATATAAATCAAACGTATTTTTGTCATTCAATTAGTTTCTATTTCTCTTAATTCAAGTGAATATCAAAACAAAATAAAGAATTTTATTTTTATTATAAAGTGTATTATTAATTATTATAATGGATTAAATTGGCCACCATTTCACCAATATAAATTTATTTATTCATAATTTTCTAGTTCATTTCATTAATTTATTTATTATTATAAATATTAGTTAAACAATTTGTAAAATATATTAAAATATGGCATTAATTTACAAATTATTGCCATTAATTGTAGTAATATGTTATTCAATACAGAGGACATCGTGTCAAACTGGTAAAGTATTTATTAGTTTTATTTTGTTTAATATATTTTGGCTAGATGACATTAAATGACATTAAATTTTATTTGGTTAAACACTGCATATTTAAATAATAATTGCTATCTACAATAGGGATAGATGTAATTGTGTTTGTTATTTATAATTATTCTTATTTATAATAATTTTATTATTAAATTCCTTATTATAATATAATGTATAAATAAATTAGACTATAAATTATATAGAATATTTATTTTCAAATGTCCATGTAATAAACCATAGATCATAATCAGTTGAAATATCAACATTTACTGTTAGGTTTATAATTTTATAATATTATTTTCTTTATAACATTAAATGTATATTTCTTTAAAATTTTATAAAATAAGTTTTTATTAAATTATTAAACTATTAAATTAAAGGAAAATAATTATTATACAAAATGGCTAACAATACTAAATGTATATTTAATATAATCAAGGATACTTTATCAGTGCGTAGAATAGGGGCGTATATTGAATGCCTTGTGAACCACTTAACATATATGGATAAAAAGTGAAATAATTGTTATTTTATAAAAACTAAAAGTATTTCTTACTGTGATATCAATCGAATTAGTATTAATGCCATTTTGTTTGTTACCGATTATATTATGCATAGACTGTAACATTGCTTTTAATCAATAGCAAAATATTATCTCAGTTTTCTGTTATAATTGCATTCTGTAGTTGTAATTATATTAAATATATAGTTTAATGTAGAATAATTATAACAAAGATTAATTCTAGTACTTTAATAATATAACAAAAATTAAACAATCTTTTATAATGTTAAATTATAAATGTTTTTAAAACTTATATTACTATAGTTATATAAAATTGAATAATGTTGACAATGAATACAATGCATTTAGTAAATTAATACTGACCACAATCTATCAATAACAATTCATTACTAAAATAACTAATTCAAGTCATGATTAATACATTAACCATAAAACAATTTTATAAAACACGTTAGTAAATAATCTAAATATTTCAAATGTAGTTAACCCAAATAACTGGAACGTGATAGACAAGGAGAGGTCACACGGTTATGTGAACTGGCCATATCAGGATCACCAAGATAGTCTGGCCGACAAAGCGAGTCAATTCTTTTACCTTAAAGGAAAAGAATCGTCACTTAAATTCAAAAAAGATTTTCTCGACAGACCGGACGTGAAAGCGAGCAATCGATTTATTCTTTGTTTTAAGGTATATATTATTGCAATTTATTGAATACTTATGAAACCGTAATTAATCATAATTTACTTACAGCATATGTTAAGTATATAATAATTATTTCTAACTAATAAAACATTTGTTTTGAGTCAAAACTTTTGACCCAATATACAATATAATATATTGTATAGTAGTTTACTAA